AAAAAATTCAGCATCTGCACACCACAGAGATGTGGGATAGTTTTGCTATCATTTGTCTGAAGCCCTGAAGTAGTGGATTGATTCTCTTTCCTTGTGTAGCTGTCTTTGTCACCATGGTGTCGCTATCCAGGATCCACTGTACTGTTAATCTTCGTGTGATTTTCCTGTGCACACATTATATAGATACTCACAAACTTCAGTGGAGCAAGTATTCATGTTGTTCATTTATCGGAGTTATGTGTGGATCTGAAGAGAAGAAAAGAATGTTCCTGGTGCTCCCTGCTTGCTTCTCAGTCTTCCCATTGCTTCAACCCACATTATAACTGATAGCATTATTTCTGTTCTCCTGTCCTGCCTGGGCACTGGTGTCTCTCGGCCTTTTTCAGGGAAATGGCACTGTCTTGACAAGTCAATTACATTTGCATTTTTGCTACAAAGAATAGCAGTGGAAGTGAGGTTCAGCTTCAGTGCAGGTAAACATCACTGTTCTTTGAAAGTGGATTTATCTAAAGGTATTCTTATGTTTCTTTGAATTTTTTTAAGTGATGTTAAGTGATGTCAGTAGTAACTATTTCCAGGAAATGTTTTTGCTCTGAACTACCTGCCTGTGCTTTGATGGCAGCACTCGTTTTCTTCAGTGCTATTCAAGTTCTTAAGGCAGATCTATAAATGAGACACTTGAGGGATGACTTTAAAGGAAAATAAGAAAACAAACCCCAAACTACTTTACAAATGTCCTTCCTAAAAGAGTTGGAAAATCACCTGTGCTCCTGTTAAGCTGAAAGAGAAAAAAACATTCACACGCATATACAAAAAGAAGATAATTTCATGTCAGCTATGTTGCTCTGTCTTTTCCGTATCTTCATTATGAAGAATGATATATATCAGAATAAAACTGAGGATGAATGTTGAGTCTGTATCTGTGCTCCTTTCCTACTTGTGTATATTGAGATTCACTCGGATGACGCCAAGAGTTCCTTTGTGGCAAGCAGGAGAATCCATCTCTATTCCTTTGTAACGCTGAAGTGTTGAACTACCAAGTAGGAGGAGTCCTTTCTGAGCAATATGGTGTTTAACAAGGTGGATTTTGGTGAGTAACAAACCTTTGTGAGCAAGTGGAAAAAAGAGAGACACCTTGAGAAATCTTACGAGGAGCAGAGAATATAGTACAAAGGAAATAGCATTTCATTATGAAATGTTACTCAGGAAACCTGTATTTAATCTTTTGTGGAGAGAGTTTTTGTTTAAATAAGAACATACTGTATCATTAAACAGATGGAGTTCTTTGCTGGAGAGAGTTCAGAGAAAAAAGAAAGATGTCTGTAATTGTGGTCCTTATATTGCCGGATTGTAGAATCACAGGAGTTGGAAGGGACCTTTGGAGATCACTGAGTACAACCCTCTGCTAAAGCAGGTTCCCTACAGTAGGTTATGCAGGAAAGTGTCCAGGTGGATTTTGAGTATCTGCAGAGAAGGAGAACCTACAACCTCACTGGGTAGACTGTTCCAGTGCCCTCGTGTTTGTGTGAAACTTCCTGTATTCCTGTTTGTGCCCATTGCCCCTTGTTCTGTTGCTGGGTACCATCAAAAAGAGTCTGGTCCTATCCACTTGACTCCTGCCTAGTAGATATTTATAGGCATTGATAAGATCCCCCCAACTCTTCTCCAGGCTGAACAGTTCCAGGTCTCTCAGCCTTTCCTCATATGGAAGATGCTCCAGGCCCCACATTATCTTTGTGGTCTTTTGGTAGAGACTCTAGAAATTTTCCTGTCTTTCTTGGACTAAGGAGTTCAGGCCTAGATACAGAACTGAAATTGTATGATGAGTGTCTGTACTTGGCTGATATGATGTAAATTAGCCTTTAAACTATTAGTAAATTTCTCCTTCTAATCTACTAGTAAATGTCTCCTTCTAATAAGCTACTCAGATGATCCAGAAATACAAATAATGCAGTAGCAGCTTCTAGAAGATGAAAATTCTTGATAGTAAAACAATTGGTATAATAAACAATGGAAAATGAATGCAGTAGCATCAGTCCATCATAATAAGGTTATCTTGTTTGACTTGATGGGTTGTGAGTAAGGTGAATCTTTGGAATCCCACTGAACAGGGCACTCCCTGTCTGCAGGGATCACCTTAGCTTAAGAGTCAGACAGTGTCCCAGAGGAAGAATACAAAACAATTTATCGAGCTTTCTCACAACTAATCAGCTACTTTGAGGAAAAATTAGGCAATTTTCCAACAACACTTATTAGCAACTACTTTAAGGCAAATTTAGGTAATGGATACTATAGGAAAGTGAGTAAAAGGATTGAGAAGAAAGAGAAGAAGAGAAAGAAGGAGAGACAGACAGATTTATAGATAGATGTAGTCCTGGATCCATCACTGTCTTTAGTCTGGAGTCTTGATCTATGTGTGGCGGGTTGACAAAGGTAAATGTACAAGTTCACCATTATACAGCCAAGTTGGTCTGAGACCGCCCTTTGGGGTGGCAACCCACTTCTGTCAAGAAGATTTGGAGTCTTAGATGAGAGTCTTTGATGATCGCACCCCTTCACACCCCACCCCCTCTTTTCTGATGTCTGTCAGCTGTGAGGAGCCATGAGAGGAGGTGAATATGAATGGTCTATCACTTTACCTCCGGAGAGATGTTCTGTAGACCTTACAGCAGGCTCTATTTTTTCATTCTCAGACTGTCATTAAGGTCGGTCGTTGAGTCAACGAGTTGCTTGCATTGTCATTAAGGAAGGCTCCATTCTGTGTAAGGCTCAGACATAAGAACAAAAGAAGAGAGGCAGATGATGTACCTTTTAAAACATTCACTTTCCGTGTTGAATTTACAAAGGACAGATGATGTTAGTAAAACGAAACCACCACTGAAACACATATGACATTAAACAAGAGCATTAGAGCTACTTGGGGAAAGAATGTTGACTGAAGAATTTTCCAGACAACTTCTCGAGGGTATGCCATCTTCAAGTGACATTTGCAACACTAAAATATCAACAGAATTGTGTGCATTATGATAGTGTCAAAAACTGTAGTGAGAAATGTTCCCAGTTGACTTGTGCTTTGGCACTAAGATTATGAAAAGATATTAATGCTATATGCATAGACACACCATTTATACTGAGTCTGTCACATGGAGCGTATGGCATGGGAAGTGTAAAAGTTCATTGCTCCTCTTTCCTCTTCAACCTTCCATTCCAGGACGTGAATGTGTATTCTCTTTTCCTCTTAGGGAGATTTTCTTTCTGCCTATCTTCTTTTTGGTGTCACACGGTAGATGTCTCTAAAGAATTTTTGCTGGCAGTACCAAGTTCTCTGGGCAGTGAAGCTCTGGCATTCAGGTGAATAGGCATGTAGTTTCAAAGGCAATACAGTATTTTCTTTTCTGTACCAGTTACTGCAAGGATTTCATCACTGAAACTCCTAGAGTGGCAGGAAACTCATCTCTACATATCTTTCACTTCTAAATATGTTTTATTTAATGTTGAATATTTTGACCTTATCAAAAGGAATTGTTTTGATGCTAATGATTATCAGCTAAAAAAATATTTATTGCTATTCATTGTCATGGGAAATTTCATTGCAGTGTTTTTCTTCCATGTTTGGGACAGAAACCAAACAGCACCCTGTCTGAACCCCTCACAGGTTCTCACTTGCTGTTATACAATTAGAGTGAAGGTAACTCAAATGGCATTATATCTTCTTGTTTCTGAAACAGACTCAGCTTTACTAATGATAGTTATGTGAAAAGTTGGAAATGTAGCACCTCAGCCATTTCTAAACTAGCTGAAAACTCAAGGGGAGAATAGGTGACAAGTGGAACATCTGAAAACCCTGAGGTGTTTTTCACTCTTTTGACCCCTTTCAGTTCTGAGCAGACTGACGGACAAGATCCTAAGGAACGTGCCTTGCACCCAGGCAGGAGCCCTCCTGAAGGTGCTTATCAACGTCGTTATCTTCCCATACAGAATTGAGAGATGTCATTTCCCTGATAAGTGCCAGTCCTCTACAATGTTTCTTTTACAGCACTGAAATGCTGTAAAGTCAAATTATCTGACTCCTCTCAAAGACCAACAGAGTCACAGCTGTGATGAGAGAGACAGAAATGGTTACAAGGAATGCATTGGATGGATGTACATAAAAGTCATGTAACAGTTGTGCAGGAGACAGACTAGATAACTGGTTCTCCCTTAAACGTGAGAGGAGGAAACAAGAAGCAGCAGGAATACATGGCTTACAAACATTGATATGTGATCCCTCAATCCAGTCTTGTAAAGTTGGTCATGTGTTTGGGGTGCTGTGAGAGGCAGGAGAACACAGGTGTAAGTTGGCCACTGAGGGGGGCAGGGGATGCAGGTGGCTGTAATTGCCTGCCTTGTCAGGCGGGAGGAGTTAGTGATTAAGGAGAAATAAGAGATAAGTATAAGAATGGGATGAGGAGAGGGTTTATTTTATGAAACCTTATGAAATTGTAACGCACAACAATGAACAGATTTTCTATTGAAGAAGTTGATCTGCAGCTGTTGTTACTAAGCTTAAAAAGCCCAACATGACTGCAATTAAAGAGTACCCACGGCATCTAAGAAAAACACTGAGGTCTGAAGCCAGGAGGTGTTAAGGAAGGAAGGTGTGTGTCCTAAGCAGGTAGGAAGTTTATTTGTTGTGGGAAGGGCTAACTGGAGAATAAGAGAAGGCTTGGTAAAATTTTGAGTTAGGTTGGGAAAGCAGTGTGCTAAAATGTTACTTGGAAAGTCTAAGGAATTGAGCAGCAAAGTGAAACTGGTGATAGAGTAGAAAAGCATGAAAGTCAGGTTTGTGGGATGATGTCCTTCGAGAAGTTGTGGGGGAACCGTTAGGTCACAGCCTGAACCAGTGATTGAACACCTGGTGAAGGGGGCACTGCCAACCCTGAAAGCACAGGTGCAAGCAGTTCACTTCTGCAAAAAGAAGGGGTGGAGCCAGGGTCCGTTTTTCCCTAGCCTCATTTTAGGGCTGGCAGCTGAGGGGGTAGCATCTCTACTTGGGTGCTGCCTTCCATGCAAGTTTCTAGTGAGCTCTGATTCTCAGAAGGGGGTAAGTTATTCCTTCTTTGTTTATTCCTTCTTTGTTACCTGGTTGTGACTAATATCTTTCTTTAATGATCCAAAAACTGGTCAAAGGCAATTGTATCTGTTACCTGTACTTACAAGTGTAAAATGGGAGAAACAAGACAGAGCCTGTGAACTGGTGTAATGGAATGTGAATTTTAAGAGAGGTTTTAGCTTTGGAATCGTCTGAAAAGGGGCTTTAAGGGTGAAAGACCCCTTAGCTAGTGAAGATATTGGCATTTTCTTTTTTCAGAATGATGAATCTGAACTTCTGAGAAAGACTTCAGGCTTTCTGGTAGGGATTTTGAACTTAAATGATATGGAAGCTCTGGCTAATAATAGAGGCAAAAAATTGGAAAAGAGCTAGGTTAAAAGTCATTAAGCCCAGTTACTCACTAGTGAGTCCTGTATTGCTTGTGAAAAAGTTTGAAAGAAGACTGGCTCTGAGTTCCTGACTTGAAGGAGATTGGCAGATATGAATACAGCCAAAATTGCTACTTGAGAGAGTTTCTGTATTGGGGGGGGAGGGAAACATACATGGATTAATGTACTTTTCTTTGTGGTGACCTTTTGTGTATATGTTACACAAGTTGTTCTCTCTGCCTTAAAATGAAAGTTTTCTCTTGCTCAGCAACCACCTGTGGAGGATTGGTGCAAGCCGGTCAGCAAGTTATCTGTTGCACCTGGATTAAATGTTTCAACACAGAGTCATAGCTCTAATTTATGAACAGGGCCCTCTTGTTCACAGACATAATTATAGAAATTAGTGTGAAGATTTTTTTTGCCAAAAGATGTGTATTTTGTTTTCTTTCCTGAGGCTTGCTATTTTTAGGTCTATAGCTGAAAAACTACTATCCATGCTCAGAAAGGAGTGAAATCAGGACTACAGGGTTACAAAAGGCTGTAGCCTGGCAACCAATTTTTTTTTTTTTTGTGGAAGAATGTTATAAACAAAATCAGAGGCCTTTGGTCCCTCCTGTATCTTTGTGATAAAAGCTACTATGGACAATGGATTCAGTGCATTTTTGCTTTTTGAGTATTTAGCCTTAGACGTGAACTCTCCTCCTGTAATGATTTAATTGAAGTAGAATATTTACAGCCCAAGCTGGGCTGGAGGCTCAGACCCCAGGCACAGTAGGTTGTAACCACTCAGTTAATGAGTGGCAGTGTCATACGTGCTCTTGGCTTGCAGCAAACCTGAAGTGACTGTATTTGCTCTAGCTTGTGCTGAGACCTATAAATGATTTCCTCCCAAGGTGGAGCCCCCATGTGGACAGTTGTGACAGACCAGCTAATGTGTGGCACCTTCTTTAGTTGTACTGTGTAATGTGAGAGAGAATTCATTTAAATCATCAATTTTTAAAGTCGATGCTTTCATATGTCTGCCCACAGAAGCTTGCATTAAGATATTGGTTCTTTTTTTTTTAAGCTGGCATTGGCAGCCTTTAGCAAAAAGTTTATTGTAAATGGTTTGTATCTTATAAAAGGCATAAGGAGGGAACTTGCAGCTGATACAAAGCAGCATCTCACCTAAAAGGGACTAGAAATCTCTATGTCAAAAAAATCATGGCCCTCTTATCAACCACTGATTCCCTCTGCTTTCTCTCAGAGGTGGTTTCTTCCATTCCCATTGACTTCTTTTCTCCCATTCATCTGTGTAACTTCTCTAACTTGTGGAACTGAAATACAGCTTGGCTTGTTTCCCTTGAAGATCTGCCAATAACCACATTAACCCACAAGTATCTTCTTTCTAGCCAGTGTTTTGACAGGAGACCTTCTGTCTTCGTACTGCATATTCCCTTCTGTAAAATAGAATGGGCAGACCTCACACTACTGTTCATAGTTCTGCTTAGGTTTTCAAATAGGAATTTTGAGGTTAAAAGGTTGTTTCATTATTTGGAATTTCTGACTGATCTCTGTTGTATGAGGCATGAAAGTGGATCTATGTTTAGATGGACTGCTTTTTTTTCTTTGTGGGTCTTTACTGAGGATTTAGGTTGCTCTGGTTTAGTGTAATCTTTGTAATGTATTTGTGTGAATTAAAAGGCAGCAAGCATGGTCACTTTCATTGGTGGATGATAATAGACAGCTGAGAGCTTCCAAGCTGCCCCTTCTACCTGCTACAGCAGCACCACCTATCTTGGTGCCAAAAGGCATCATAAGCTCACATGTAAGAAAATGATAAATATCTCCCCCTCAGAAGGTGAAGGAGATGAAGCTGCCAGTCTAGCATGGTTAAGGCATAGTGGTTGCATGAGCCAAGATGCACTCAGTGGTATGACTACTTCAGATACCTTGGTTGTAACAATAATTTGTTGTCTTATAGTTGATCTACTGGGAGAGCTTGTATGTGCATAGCACAGCTCTGTACAACAGCAGGGAGTATTAGCTACTCTTTCAGCATAAGCTCTTGGGCTGAATTAGAAGCCATTTTCAGAAACAAATTAATTTGGGTTTTATTATTTTCTGGGCTTTGAGTTTTCATGCTTTCCACTATTCTTTGCCTTTGGAAAGATGAGTATAAATTTGGCTTTAATCATGTGATAAACGGACTGTCTTTGTGGAAGTCTGAGATGTTATTTTGTGGTGTCTCTTCATTGAGGTGCCCAGCTTTCTAGTCGTCATCATTAGAAAGTGACTTTCCGAAGATAAGTGCTGACCATTCTCCTGTGTTTTAATCCAACTGAATATATTCTGGATTTCCTATATTAATCTCAAGTGTTACTTTTGAGTAAAAAAACATGATACTTGTGGAGAAGGTGCTTATTCCCAGGTCAGTCATGCTGTCATCAAGAAACACTCTAGCAATCTATTATGCAAAGGTGGGATATCAAGAGAACGATGCACAAGTCTTGACAAGAATCTTTCAGTTGATTGAATCTGGTGCTGCTAAACAGCAGTTCTCCTGATTGGTGTATAAGCAAAACTCAGATCTGTTCATCTAGCTACAGCTATCTGCAACCTATCATTGGCACCAATATGTTCCTTCATACCAAAGGTAAATTATAGTCCGGATGAAGTATTTTTCTAATTAAAAAATGTTAATTGATCTCTCTCTAACTTTTCCCCAGTGAATAATGCAATTGAATTATCTTTAGAGTTTGCACAGAACCTTTGATAACAATGGAGTTGTTTGTATACAACCTTATTTTTTTAATTCCACCAAGTCCTATTGTTGTGTTGATTGTGCTTTGAAGCCATAGCAGGCTTCCTGCTCCTGTTATTTGCTATTTATTTCAGTCCCAACACACGGCTCCTAAATTCTTGTTAAAGTTGTTTCTGAACAAAAGGAGTAAACTCAGACTCTCTCACATGAAATACATGAAGCAATTATGGTTCCATTCATTTGCTTGTATCTGTTTGCTGTATCTAGAGAGCTATTGTTATGCATGGAGAACTGGAAAATAATAACACTAATAAAAAACAATAATTCTCCCTGGGTCTGCTGTCAATAGCAACAGTCTAAAGAGAGCTCAAGCATGGAGAGGGAGAGAGAGGGATGTGTTTTGGATGTGAGAGGAGATGCAGAGCAGCACCAGAAGGATCTACTCAATCTATGAAGCCAGGTCCTTGTGTGGTGTGAATGGGATCATTCAATTCTTCCCCATCCCTTTTCAGTAGGGGTGTACCAGTTCTCAGCAAAGTGTGATGCTGAGTACTCCTCTGAAGGAGTGCTAACTTCTGTGGGAGCTCCTCCACATTCCTGTGTCTCTCTCCTTTCTCTAGGAAACCCTTTTCTTACTTGAAGCAGCTGAGTTCTTATCACTCAGTCTTAGAGTGGGGCTGGAACAAGAGTTCAAGAGCACAGAGAGAAGTTTGAGGGAACTGGTGTGTGTGAAGGGGTTTTTCTAGAGCTGCTGAAGGGTTCCTTGTGAAGTTGGGAACTGTCTGCGGATTAAGTTGTCTACATTAGGATATTATTGCCTTCTTTATTCCATCCACAGATTTGACTGGCTTCCAAGAGCTGATTTTTTCCCCAAGAAAGATATTAAGTTTTTTAATTGTTACTTACTTTGAATTATCACTGGCTATGGACTTTGCCTTGTAGGAGTAAGGCTTGTCTTGGCCAAGTGGTTGATCTCTCAGGAAGGTTTTCTTTTCCAGGGTAGGTGAATAAAAACCTACAGAATCTCAGGTTCAGTGAAAAGTCTTGTTATTTAAAACCATTATCTCTGTGTTGGCCTCTTCTGAAAAATGAATGTGGAAGAGCTGGGCAGGTGGGATTAGTTGCTTTTTTTCTGATAAAAGCAGATTAATTTTAACACTGGCTAATAATTGCATTCATTTTTTTCTTGGTAAATGAACCATAAGACACACTGTCAGAAGTGAGTATTTCGTAATGACTGTGGTTAATATTTCAGAGCTATTTTCTCTGTGGATCAGAGCTTAGACTCAAGCATGTGAAAATCAGCAGTATACATTCTACATTAGCTTGATTTCTATTCATTTGCAGTTCAAGAGTATTCTTCCCTTCCCTCATGCTAATTTCAGAATACTTACGCAGTTTGGTCTGTACGGTAAGGGATTTGCATCTGATTTCATCCCCAGGTCTATGCATATTTACTTTGTTCTGCCTACAATGCAGCTCTCTCAGAGGTAGGACAGTTTGTAGTTGTGTGTCCAGGCTGAGGTTTGAAAAGTTTCAGTAATCTGCTCTGCTGCAGAGCTCCTGTGTGTGCCCCAGAAAATCCTTATGCTTCACAGTGACTCGGTTACCTGAATTATAGCATTTGTATTTAGGTCTTAGTCCTGCTTCACATGGGAGTGTTGAATCTAAATCTCTTCAAAACCTGTTGTACTTAAATAATAAAAAGATGTTAATGGAGAGGGAGAACTTGTACTCAATGACAGAGCAACTATCCTATATATATATATATATGAAGTTCTTTCTTAAGTTTCGTTTTAGTGGTTGCTTATACTCCTTGGGTTTTTGTCCTCTGAACATGACAGTTTTCTTGAACAGAAACATTAGCATAGCAAGATCAT